AGAACACAACGTTTCGGCCGTGGAGCCTTCTTCAGGTGTCCTTCTTCACACCTGAAGAAGGCTCCACGGCCGGAAACGTTGTGTTCTCTTTCTTCTTTTTTTCAGCATGGAATAAACCTATTACTTGTTCCTTTGCAGCCTACGCATGCTGACGCAGCTACCCACCTGAACTATATGTAGCTTTGCTGCATGTGTTGTTTGATGAAGTCATTTTCTTTGTACTTCTTGTATGTATTTGAGGATATTTTAAAGGGGGAATTAAAGGCTTCTGCATGTGTATGTCACAGTTTTAGATTGTTTACAAAGGGAAAGAAAGACAAAGTGAATAAATGGGAAATTAGTGCCTGATGTTCTGTTGTGACTGGATTATGCATTTATGTGGGTGAATAGAAAATGCAGTTCTCCATTGTTTTGCACAATTGGAAAAATGCTTAAATCATGAGGGTTATTTGTCGAAGGGGCTCTGGGAGGCCACAACTTCACTTCTGACCTATTACACTAGACAGATGGCACTGATTTGATTTCCCATCTTGAGGAATGACAGCTGAACCAGCTAACCTGTGCTGTCTTTGATATGAATAAACATAAAAAGCATCATTTTAAGTCCTTGAAATCATGGAGATTAGATATATTGAATTGATTGTGTTCATCTTCTGATTTGTTGTAAAAAGACTTCCAAATTAAAAATGTCAATTCCTTAATTTTCTCAACTAAAATATGAAAATCACCTAATGCAGTTTGCTTAGTGGTGTACTTAATTGGTAGGTTGGTGTAGTGCAGTGTTTTGGACATATTGTAGGGTTTAGCTACAGGCACAGGACCTTTATAAATTCGTGTTGTCCCATAAAATAGCATGTTTCAGGATATTGGTAATAGTTAATGACATCTATTAGAAGATCACTTTATCTAACCACAAACTGAGATAGTGTCAACTATTGCAGAACACATTTAATAAAACTGGAGGTTCACTCTTAGTGTTTTTTCACCCTTGAAAATAGAAAGCCACCTGTTTTAACGTGACCCACACAACAAAGGCATTTTTTTGTGTAAAAGCATGCGCACAGAACGCAAAGAGAACTTGCTGTGGTTTGTTTAATGCGTCAGTCGGTGAGATGTTGTCAGGAAGTAGCATGACATCTCTGTGCTGTAATTATCTTGCTAACTAAAAACTTCAGTGCTGTTTAGAAAGTGTGTGCAGGATCAAACTTCAGGATGTGGTAACTACTGTAGCTGCCTGTTATCCTGCTGGGGCCCATACATTTTTGTATCATGTTTTCCAGTGAATCTCTTCTAGATTTTGGGTATGTAATCTCACTTTTGGTAGGTGGTTTTGAAAACTTTGTAACATTAGTCTTAAATGCCCATAAGGTATAACTGTTCTTAATAACATTTCTTGTTTGGTGATATTTAATGTCTCTGTATGAAGATCATATTTTTTTTTTTGTATTTTGTAATGTATATAGCTGGAGTTCATGACAAATAACAATAATTATGATATAAACACCAATAATGCTGTTGGTGTAATATGCCTAGGATTAGTAGTTTTCTATCTTGATTGGAGGTAAAAGAAAACATTACGTCAATAATTGCCTGAATAAGGTGAAACTGGCAACTGAGTATGCATTTTCTCATCAGATGTTGCTAGTCTCAGCCAGAGATTCAGCAGTTGATAACAAGGGATCCTTTGTGATTTTGTGAAGTGCAAACTTGGTAAACACAAAAAGCATGAGAGTAAAAGCATTTCATAGATGTACAATGCTGGCCTTGTCTGTTTTTTAGTGATATTTGAGAGATTAAAAACACAACAAACAATAACATTGTTGCAGTGCCGCATAGTATTTCTAAAATATACAGTGTCATTTTGTGCACATAGGTACAGTAAGTAATGTTTTAATTGAGTAAAGGCCATTCCCATCCTGATCATTTAGTTTTTAGTATCTTTTAAGTCTTTTTAGTTTTTATCTTATCTTAGCTTACATCTAATAGATATTTCTCCCTTGGTAAGGGTTCTGGACTTGTAACTGGAAAGTTGTGGGTTAAATTCTGGATAGGGTGCAGTGGCTGTATCTTTGAGTGAAAAACATCACTTTCATTGGTTCAGTAAAATGTCCTGCTGGATAAGTGAGGACAAATTTGCTTTGATAAAACCATTAGCCAAAAACAAAATTGCACACTGTACACTTTAACCAGGTCTTTGGGTTCTTTCTCTGTAACAAAGTGTCACCTCTGTTGGTTTTGAATACTTTTGAACTTAAATTCTTCTTGTCCCAGTATTCTTGTATTGCTACTGATGTGCACACATCAATCAGTCTTTCTACAGCATTGAGTTTGAGGTGCTCTAACAAAAGCTTATTGAAATACCAAATATCATGTAATATACTCTTAAGTTATCGTTTTACTATAGTTACTTGTACAAAGACGTCTAGTAAGTTAGCAAGACAAAATCTAGCTCTTCTAAATCCATGCTGACTACTTTCTAGACCATGGATGAAATGTCTGATCCTGGAGAGCTGTTGTGTCTGGGGATATTCATTCCAAAGTAGCTGTTAACATCCCAAATCTGAATTGGAAAGATAGGATTAATCATCCAAAACCTTTGATATTGATTTTAAATGATAAAAGTTAAAGCTAATGTTGTCACTGGGAGTTGAAACAGGACCTTGTTCACCTTGTTTTCAAACATTCTCACTATTAAGAGTATTCAATTCTAAGCACTGCTGTGGTACTTTTACCATTAGCAATTAGATAATTGCAATGACTGGATCGGAGAATCAAGGTGGCTTGAAATGATGTCTGTCCCTTCTATCATATATCAGGTCAAAGGCTCGCAAATATTATGCTATTAGACAAAAGGTATGCTGAAAGCATTTTGTGGCGTCCTAGACGCATCTTGGGTTTAGGTAATGGATTACATTTTTTTAGTGTTTCTAAATGACGTATTTGCTGGATTGACTCTCACACACCCTATAATAGATCTCAAAGTGCTAGAGGTACCAGTCTGTAATTCTTACATACTGTATGTACATTTTTTTGCAAATACATTTTTAAAAGATTGTGTCTGTACTGTGTATACACACCGTGCACTAAAAGCATAAGATCTTCATAGATTTTAGACAAAACTGTGCCAAAATCCTGTTTATTTCAAATAGAATGAGCTGCTAAGATCCTGTGAAAGTATTGGTGGTGAATGCAGTAATCCATTCAGATAAGCAGAACTAGTAATGATCTCAGAAAACAATCATATAAAATTTGAATGTCCAATTGCAATCACTCTCATGAATAAGTGTAGTTTGCATAATGAAGTTATCTAGAGATGTTTTTGGATACAGCATTTGGAGGCTGGGATCTTATTGTACACTTTTCTTAACTTTTAGTTAACTCTAGTTTACAACAACTGTGATCGTTGGAAACAAAAGCTTCAGCTAACTTTGAATTTTGAAAATTCAGTTAACTGTTACAGTGTTCTGTCATCTCTGGAATGTATGACTAAAAATAATCTTGGTTGTTTTCTGTCATTATGATGTCAATGGTTATGCTTTTAAAAGTCATTATACATTTATGTTTGGAAAAAAATGTGTTCTCTCACATTTTAGAAACTGTAGTTTAGACTAAAATATTTTATTTATTTATAATATATTTATTTGAGTACTAACAGTTAATTTTTACAGGAGTACTTAATCTGTGGAACTCCATTGTCAGATCAAGAAGAGTAGCATAACAACAACATTGTATTGTAGATTTTGTTCAGCCAAAATGGAATCTGATAACCATATTTGCATGCAAAATGTTAGCATTTTTACTACCTGCAGGTAGCTGTCAGAGAAACTGGTTCAGTTGAGAGGGTAATTTTGTTAAGAGTTCCATGATTATTATTCAGTCCTTTCTGACTTAACAGTGCCTTTCTGCATTTGAGATTTGTAAATGTCCTGTGTGGGAAGCAGCATTCTCCAAAAGCATCCGCCCATCACTTCAGTTTCAGATTACATCTGTCTGCATCTACTGTCACATTCCCGACATTACTTTCAGTAAGTGTGGGAAGACTGCAGATGTGCCAACGCGTTCTTTACATTTTACTATTAAGGTATTACCACTTTGTTTTAGTACATCAAATTTATCAATCTCATTTATTCATTTGTTTAAGCACTTTGGGATGCTGTGGCAAGGTTCAGATTGCAGTGTAATTGCTAACTGACAACAGGTGTCTGTAGAAAGTGCTGTTGGCTTAAAAGTGCTACCCACTGAAGAGATCTATTTGTTTTTAAATGACAGTCATAGTCTAAGGAAAAATGAAAAATAGAAGTTAAAAATGGAATATGCAGAGCTTGAAGTTAACAAGCCCATATCCATTACTGATATTTATTTCTTTACAAAATGAAAAGTGAACTTCCTTTTCTTCAAGAAATCGTTGAGTTTAGAGTAGTGCAGAAAACATCAGCAGCAGCAGTGTTTACAGAAATATCTGAGAAACATGAGTATGAGAATTAGCTTGAGTTTGTCATCTGTATGCACATCATGACTGAAGTGGCAGAACATTTTATGTGGTTGAGGAGCTCTAAAGCATTAAATTCACTTGCTCATATTGCAGGTTGAGCCCTATAATCCTGACATCACAGTTCACGCCTGGGCTGTGTCTTTAGCTAACTGTAACTGGGATAACTCATTTTGTAGTGCACAGGCCTCTGTGCTGCTTGGGCAGTGAGGGCACAGGGGTTACGTGTTACATGCGATGCACAGGATATTGCACAGAGCTGTTGCTTTCTTTCTTCTAGAAAAGCTACAAAAAAGTTGCTTGCTTTCTTGTAGGAGCTATGGAGCTTTGTCCTTATTCTCCTCATACACCTTCAAGAGTCCTTCATGTTAATGAACAGTTGGAAGTTTCAGATTGAGATGGTATTAATCTAATTCACAATTGCCTGATAATTTCATGTCAAATGTGAATGAAAGTTTCTAATTGGCATGTAGTATGCATTCTTCCTTAAAAGTGCATTTTGTCTCCACAGAAAGACTGTACAGACTGCGGGGTTGCATTGTTGGTCCTAGCAAAGTACTGAACTGTGCATGGAACATCTCACTAGTAAGACCTTAACTTACTCAGCATTCTTCATTTTTTCCTTTTTGTAAAATAACATTTATGGGGTAAACAAGTTTTATGTTTGTTGTGCATAACAGCTAGTTATGGGAAACTAAATAAAATTTGGAATTAATATTGTAATGTAAGTGATAATCCTGCAAACAGCAGGAAAACAGGACAGGCCTAGCAAATGCTACGTAGTACCAAAGCACCAAGTTGGTATTGGACTTTGTGACTTTACTCCATTATCCCAGTAAATGACCTGATTCACGGCTTCATGGAAGAGTAGCAAAAATGAGTTGAAAAATACTCACATCAAATCTTAACTACAGTTTGCCAGAAGGCACGTGGAAAACTCTGAGAAGTGGAGGAGGTTTTTATTAATTTTGGGTCATATGCTAAGCGTTGGGTTTGGCACAAGTACAACAGGCACAAAACTTTGTGAGGAAAATACACAGATATTTCTGACCATTCCTAGCGATTTTGGAATTTATTGCAACATTTAGATCAGCATACCTCTGTGAACAGGTATTTTCACTTATTAAATCTGTTCTTTGTCCCTCCTGTAGTTGGTTTATAACTGAACACTCAGAGACTTTTGTGTTGCTTATAGTTTCAAGTAATGAAAACAAGGGCAATGATCACACTAAATGGTAAGATGTGCACATTAATTTATTATTTTTAGATATTGTCATATTTTAATATTAATCAAAATGTAAGTGGGGCTATTATTGACATTAGTAATCCTTAATTGCAACATTTCTAGTGGACCCCATACTGAAATAGAAACCCAGTCATGTTTTATAGGTTCTCCTGGGACCAGGTGCATTAGGGATACAGATCTCACACAGATAACTGTGGTAAAACAAAAGACCCACTGATGCAAAAGAAAGGCATACAGAGGCTCCCATTATTGAGCAATGATTTTAGCAACTGTGAGTCCAGCTTGCCAAACCCTTTTCTGCTTCAAAGATCAAGAGAGAATCTGTTATTCACTGAAAGCACAATAGGAAAATCATGGAGAATTCTGGTCTACAATACTAGATGAAGTACAGGATCCCTTATCTCATAGGCCAGACAAATTTGGCCATTCCCTAACTGTATGCAAAAATGCAGCTTATACACTGTGGCAAATCTGTGTTGCAAGAAAAGGAAGGAAACAGCTTAGTGACATATTGTATAAACAATGTGTTCAAACGATTCCCTTTTGTCATTTCAACTTTGATGAGTTACATAAGATCTATACAAAGTGAAATAAGGCACAATGAAATTGGCATGTTTTGTTAATGATCTACATATTTGCTGTGTGTACAGTGGCAAATCAGCCTCTTTTGTGATTCAGGACATTTAATATGTCTGTTTTGCAAGGCTGCAGCTGCATCTTACATTTTCTGTCTTCATAGTTGAAACCAAGTAAAAATGTGGTAAAAGTAAAATAAAATGATTGAAGAGAGTGTTGGTTATAAGCTGATCATGAGTTGACTGCAATTGCAGGTCAAATGCAGGCGTCTTTAATACAGCAAGCTCATTAATGAGCTGTAAACTTGGCATTGTCTATGGTCTGTTTTTTCACAAAGAGCTTTTGGGTTTTGGATTCCATTTCACCACCTCATGATTTCACATTCTGGAAGTGTATCTTATCTACATCTTAGACAAAGTCATATGACGAACTAAGTTTTGCCTATATTCTCATTGCAAACATCCTGAGAAAATGTGCAGCTTAACAAAAAAAACAATATCTATTGATACATTAATTTAAATTGTATAATTTGAGTTTTGGTAGTTTGTATATGTGTATTAATTTGTATTCAGAATATAAATACCTTTAAAACAAGGATAAAAATTATATGTTGTGTACAGATGTAAACTGAGCCTTAAATTTAGCTGTCCAAGCTACCCGAGTGGAATCTAAAAGGGATTTTTTATGATCCATTTTAGTTGGAAGTCAAAGTGCAAAGTATCAAGTGTGCGTTGGAGGAGAGACGTACAGTATTATTTTATTTTGAGCTTTGTAAGGTTTCTTTTAGGCTTGTGAGTTTAAAATGACTACAGCTGTAGTGGGAGTGGGTGATGGAAAGTACTGTACATATCTTTGACACACTTAATTAGTCCACCAGTGCCTAGTACCACTGGTTGGGATATGATCAATAACAGCACCTAGTTTGGCACTAAGATCCTTCAGTGCAAAGTGTGGAGAAATGCCTGTGACAGTTTTCTACTTCTATTATTGTGCAAGTAAGTTGGTTCTTGCTCTATAATGTAATTGGTAAGCTACAGTATGTTTTTACCCTTTTGCCATGAGTTTAAATATTTGACATTAATACTGAACACCATGCCAGCTTCTTAACCAAATTGCAGTATAGCCACATCATCAATGCCTTCCAGTGAGAGACCCTTACAAAAAACAAACAAGTGCTTTATTTAGAAAAAAGGACATGATATCTTCTTTGAATGGCTTTACAGTTAGGTTGTTTACAAAGAAGCTTTCTGAAAAGATGCTTTGGGATAAGACATAATCATATAAAATATATTATTGTCAATGATAATGAGACGTTTATTATTATATGGCAACTAGAAAAATCAATGAAGGCTATGCACAAAACTATGTCAAAAGAATTCAGTTTGTTTTTTAGCAAATTCAAATAATGTATATGTACTGCATTTTCTTATTTTGGACTTTATGCAGTTGTGAAAACTCACTTCTGCTTGGATTCCCAATCCAGGTCCTTTTGACTACATTGTATTTTGTTTGAGCTAAAAGTGAGCTCTTAGTTATACGAAAGTTATCCAATATTTTACTAATCAGATTTCTTTTAAATATTTTGGAGATTTTACATAGAAATGTATATCTTCATAGGAAGGGAAGCAATTTAAAGGTATCATTAAATAATTAGTCAAGTTAAGTAGTAAAAGTCCATTGGCACTGAAAATGAGGTTTTGGAAAGACCTGCTCTTAGTCTTCTTAGGTCATTGTGTTGAACAAAACTGAGTAAAGGAGAAACAGAAAATTGAATTACTGTTGGTTTAATCATTGTCTAACAGCAAAGCAATGTGCACAGTTGGACATTATTTACAAAATAGTTTTGTTTTGCATATTTACATTTTGCTTTTCTTTAAAAATGTTCTGTACCAGCTCTGACATTTTCAACATTGGTTTGTAAATCTCCCTCTGATCAGCTCATGTGTAAAGCCATAGAGAATCTGTATTAAACCATACAGATAAGCGAGTTGCTGTGCCTTTGTATTGCACAACATCGTGCTTTAGGAGTCATTTCTGCAAAATCATACCTTTCTAGCACAGGAGATTTACACAGCTCAATGTTGTGCAGTATATGAGTCAAGCACAACTAGACTATGCAGAGAAGACATTGATTCCCAGTCCTCCAGCACACCTAACATGGTTTGTGTTATGACACAACATATACAGTATACAGAGAGAGCTGATGGACAGTCATGCAACTGGCAAAAATTTGGTTTTATGTTGGCATGAATACAGCATTTATTATTTATTCCTCTGCTGAATTGCTTTCTTCACTAAAACTCAGAAAGCATTTTTTTTATTTTGCTTTATTTAAAAAGACAGTACCTACAGTTTCATAACCTTGAAACTTCTAGCAGTTTGTAAAAAAAATTATTTGGTAAAGTATGTTATAACTGTGGGGAACATATGTTTTTTGGAGCATAGAGTCCTTTAAATCCCTTTCTTGATTCATCTGTTTCAATTTAAATAAGGTCATGCTTTTTACGTCACCAGTGTGTCCTGTGAGATCCTGACTCTGTTTGATTCAGAGTAAATTGATTTGTGGTCAATTGATGTCAGTGTCTGTTGCAAAACAATATTTAATTATATTTTGTTACATTTTCTTATGTAATAAAAACCATACTTGAGTACTGAGTACAGCTACTAACTAACATTAAAAAGGGTTTACTCAGTGAAAAGCTACCCTCAGTCTCCATCGAAATAGCTGTGGGTGAAATGCATTATCATTGGGTAAATTAAAATAAATTATTTTGAATTAAACATGGTTGAAAGATAGTAAGATACTCAGCAATGTAAATAGGAAGACAGTTCAGTTATACCTGTTGCTTTGAAATGCATGCAAATGTTTGAACATTGCAGATCTTTTGCACTCAAGTATAGATAAAATTTAAATTGTAGACCACCAGTGCTACTGTAATCTTGCAATTTTAGACCAGTTAAAATGTAAAATTGGACAGTCGACTATAGCACAAAGTAAACTGAGGTGTTCAAACTTATGTTTTCTGTCATTCTGGGATTACTGGATACAGCTGATTTTGCATGGTTTATTAATGGAACCAAGTGTACTGTGTCAGTATTACAACTGCAGATGCCTGTGCCTGCAACAGACAATATCTGTAGGTCAGCAAAACTGCTCAGTGGCAGTTGCAACCTTTTCTTGTGTATAAGCCAATCAGTAAGACAGCTGTAATTCAAGCATCATTCCAAAAATGGGCTGTATGAAAATTAAATGCAGAAAAGGAATTACCATCCATTATCAATTACAATGCATTCTATTCTGTCAATTTCATGTCTCTCAGCTATTTCAAAACTGTCAGCTGACCAGGACTTTTTATACATGATGTAATCTTCATAATTCAGATTTGAATACTTTACTCTTTGACTCTCCTGGTAAAATACAGTGTTTTTTCTATTGCCGAAGAAACTTGATGGATTAGAGCTGTGGACATTTGGTGATGATAGACATTTAGTAGTAATGTTCAAGCCATGTTCTTGCAAACTTCTAGTATGAATGGGAAGCTAAAGATACGACTAAAGGTGCGACTTATGCTATTGACTCTTTTAGCTTACAACAAGATTAACTTGTGTAATGCTTGCTGTTGTTGCTACATCTGTGAAACGCAGTAGCAAACATTTTATGCTTTCAAACTTTCACCACCTTCTTTTCTTTGTTGGTAAAGACTTTCCTTTGATCCAAACACGCACACAACCTAAGGAAATTGAAAAAAACAATTACGTTAAT